GAACAATAATAAAAAACAATACATAAGCATTTTTTCTTCTTTTTTTTTTTTTTTGCCATTTCGTTAAATTTGTAGTGCAGCTTCGGATTGGATTGGATTGTATTGATTCCGTAAGCCTGTTGGTGACCGGCCTTGTCACATTGGCCCTGAAAGGATTTTGTCTCTGCTATTTCTCCAGTAAGATATCTGCATTGTGTATAACTACCGTGTTCACCCGAATAAAACGCCCGGTAATTATCGCTGCATCTGGACTGAAAGTTGTGCCAAATGCAGCTATAATAACCGGGCGTTCTATTCGGGTGAAGACGGTAGGATTTTGTCATTTCGCTAAATTTGTAGTGTAGCCCCGGAATGGACGTAGAATTGCCTGTTCACATTGTTTGTTTTTTTTTTTGGGATTTTTTGCTCTCTGTAATAACCCTCTTTAATGATGAGAGGGACGCCGGACCCGTTTTCCGGCTTGTATAATTCAAAAGCGGCCGTCGTATGAATCAGGCCGGAGTGCCTGAATCATACGACACTGGCTGCCCTTTGGCTTAAAAAAAAAAAAAAAAAAAAAAAAAAAAAAAAAAAAAAGACGCGCATGTAATCAGTTCTCAGTTGAAACGCGCACATTCCCCGCCGACGCGCGTTTCGGCCAGACTGCATGCGCTCCTCGCCGTTCCTGAACTTCTGCGAATGACTTTTTTTTTTTCTTCTTCTTTTTTTTCTTTTTTTCTCCGTCTTTTTCGGTCCGTTTTTAAAAGGCCGACAGGCTTGAGATATATATATATCATCGTCGAACTGAACGGCCCTTGGGTAATTCAGAAGTTCAGAAATGCAGGGTTTTTTTTTTTTTTTTTTAGTTCTTCACTCATCTGCTTCTGCTTCCAGTTGAGTTCGTACCCCCCCGCCGGGGGCCAAGTCCCACTAGCAGCGTTGAGCTACCTCAACGCCTGAATCTGGACGTGTTTGTGGAGACGTGCAGTTCAGGAAACTCCACACCATTTCTGCACATCTCTGCAAAAGCGTCCACATTCAGGCGTTGAGGTAGCTCAACGCTGGCCCGGGTCTTTATTTCAACATTTTTTTTGTCGAACATATGGTAACATACTCCTTTTTTTGCCATTTAACTTTGACGTACCTGGCCGGAATTTGGCCATTTTGTGAACCGAAATCGGCAGGGCTTACCCGGTTCCCACGTGCAAGACCGAGTACGTCAAAGTGAGATGCCCCCCCCCCAAAAAAATGGAGAGTTATCCTAGGTTACCAGCCGGGCCGCCTGGGCCACCTTGTTTTTTTTTCCCGTGCGGTCCGGCCGGGCCAGAACCAGGGAAGATCCCAGCAAAAGAACAAAAAACAAAAAATCCGAAAAAAAAACTACGCGAAGCAGAAAAATAAACTGAACAACTTTTGCCCCAGCGTCACATCGAAATTCTTTACCAAATTTAAAATAAAAATTTAATTAGAAACTGTTTGTGTTTGGGTTGTTTTTTTTTTTTTGCCCCGGCTGGGCAAGTGGTCCCGGGCCACTCTGGCATTTAGCCTACCTCCTTCTTCCCCCGAATACAACGGGCGGTCATTCTAGCTGTATTTGACGCATCTTTCAGTCTAGATACACAGCTATAATGACCGTACGTTGTATTCCGGGGAAGAAGGTAGGTATTATCATCATTATTGAGTTGATCTGTGTCCGACTCTTTCTGGGGGGGGGGGGGTGTTCGGGGACTTTCCTATTACTACTACTGCGCTCTTCGCACTCCTCAGGGGGCTTCTCACAATATCCCCTTGCGGCACCACCTTCCACTTTAGGGAAAAAAATGAGGAATGGAAGCGGATACAGCGCCGACCAAACGAGCCCTGATAATCAAACACCGCATCTGCTTTTTTTTTTTCCTCTCATGTTTTTCTCGATTGCATTTGCTATTCTCGAGGGGGCGAGGGGAATACTAACGATAATACTAGTTAGTATATCAGTAATCATCATCAATCATCATCCTCATCATCACTGTTTTTTTTTTTGTTTTTTTTTTTTTAACGAGGACAATGCTCCAATCTATTCGTGGGGAGCAACAGGTGCTGGGAACCGGCCCAGCGAGCCTCACCTTGTCTTATATCTTCTATAAACATATATTTACTATACTATACTATACTAGCACACAAAATAATGATACTATAATGTCACAATAATCACAAAAGACGCAGCCAAAGGAGAGAGACAGAGTGACACAGAGAGAGAGAGAGAGACGATGAAAGGCACGAGGACGAAAGGAGAGATGCAGGTGGAGAAGACGTGAGGGGCGGAAGAGAGAAGGAGAGAAGGAGAGAAGGAGAGAAGCAGAGAAAGGAGAGAAAGGAGAGAAGCAGAGAAAGGAGAGGAGGAGAGGAGGTCGTAGGTGTCTTGGGGAATGCGGGAATGAGGTGACTGGCATTTAGAATTGATGCACGGCGAGGGGACAAGGTGGGAGATGAAAAGTACGTTGCCTGCCTTCCAAGCGCCTACCACCTTGTCCCCTCGCCGGCGTGCGGAATGCGCGAATGAGGTGACTGGCATTTAGGATATGATATGGGTTCGATTCCCATTATCCGCAAATGCTTTTGATTTGATGAAGAAAAAACTTAGATCAAGGGCTGAGAGGAAAGAGAGGAAAGAAAGGCCAGAAAAGACAGAGAGGAAAGAGAGGACCGAGAGGAAAGAGAGGACCGAGAGGAGAGAGAGGACCTAGAGGAGAGAGAGGAAGAGGAGAAAGAGAAGAGAGAAGAGGAGACAGAGGAGCGAGGAGGAGGTGGAAAACACCTACCAGTGGCTGTTGGGCTCGACGGTAGGAAGGCATTGCCGAAGGTCGACGAGGCCCGGCGAGAGAGCGACTGCGACACGAGGGGATACCGCCATGCAGCCAAGGCCGCAACGCGCGGAGCCGGGGTCTGGACAGCGGAAGCGCCGCCAGCACGGACGGCAACGGCCGCCATCGCCGTAGCAGAAGCGCACGCGCAAGTTGCCATCGCCATGGCTTTCTCTTTCTTGCCTCTCTCCTTCTCTCTCTCTCTCTCTCTCTCTCTCTCTCTCTCTCTCTCTCTCTCTCTCTCTCTCTCTCTCTCTCTCCCCCCGCAGTCTAGCAGGAGCGCAGCCCCAGCGCGATTGTACGTATGCTGGGCGCCGCCTCCCCCCCTCTCTCCCACTCGCTCGCGAGCGAATCTCCTCTCTCGCTCTCTCTCTCTCTCTCTCTCTCTCTTGACGACTCCGCCTGACTGCGCGCGGGCGAAGCAACACCTGTGTATAGGAAAAAGAAGGAGAGAGAGAGAGAGAGAGAGAGCAAGTAGGGAGGAGGAGGAGGAGGAGGAGAATGGGGGCGCGCAGGGAGAAAGTCCGGGTCCGTGGATACAACGGCAGGAAGGTCTCGGGGAAGATCGGGTAACGAGGGCGATATGGATATTTATATCTGCATCATGTGTATGCTTACTTCGATTCTTCACATTCTCTTCCCATTCTTCTTTTCTCTTTTTTTTTTTTTTTTTTTTTTTTTGGCATGTCTACGGTAGTCGCCGGGATTCCATTTTCAACACCTCAGATCTTTCGTGCTGTCGCCATATCCTCGATGCATCTGACGCCAATTATGGTCAGATTCACCGGAAACTGAGTTGGTGCAACGAGAGAGAGTACCGTCCATGTGCTCGCTCCGTCAAACAGCGGCATCGATGTGGCGGGAACAACGAGAAAGGAAAACGAAAAGATAATAAAATTAAAAAATCAAAAAGCACTACGATTGGTGGAAATACAAAAGTGACACTAAAAAAAAAAAAAAAAGTGACTACCTGGCCCGCGCGCGGCACGAAAGTGCGACAATTTTTTGTCGCGGCGGCAACACGAAACCCCGCCCGCGGTGAGTTTCGTTTTCTTTTTTTACTCTTTGGCCCAATGGCAACACGCAAATACATATTTATACTATAATTTATATTTATTTGGAGGCTAGCGAGCATTTGGGCGGGGGCACACATTTGGCCCTCTGGCGCGCGCGACGGAATCTGGCGCCACGAATAGGGTCGAGATGGCTAATGGGGTGTGATAATGGGAGGCTTCGAAACCTAATCCAGAACAGAATGTCGGAGAGGAAAGCGCAAGGGGGAAGGGGTGAGTTGCTGTTGGCGGGGAAGAGGGGGAAAGGGCTCTTATACACATCTAGATGTGTATAAGAGACAG